ACCAACCGGTCTTTCAACATCCCAAACAGATTCATCCAAGCATCCACTAATAATATCACGTATCATGTTATCAACTGCCTTATCTTCATTCTTTCCCTCCATTGAGGATATATCTCCTCCAAAGGCTTGATCAATAAGTGTCTAACACGAACCTTCAAGTTTACAAGTATACCATGACAGAATTAGTCAAGTCTACTATGAATGTTTGTATCAATTGTACCATTACATAACTATTACTCTTTCAAACAAGTGTACCATTACACAACTAATATCTCCAAACAACTCTACCACAACATAACTTTTTAATTCTAAACAAGTCTACCACAACATAATTTAGCATTCTGAACAAGTCTACCACAGCTATTAAACATTCAAACAGCCTGTCACAGTAAACATACCTTCCCGTGGCTATTCTTCTCCTCCACCAAAANGGTCTCAAGGTTGTATCTCGCGCGGCTTGAAGCCCAANTTAGAANAGNAATTGGTGCTTCTCTTTTATTCCCAAATTTCTCACCAANNATTGGAACCGACNNGTATGCCCATACAAGNATCGCATGCACAAAACCATGAAGTGTCAACGACCCACCCTCCAAACATGAAATATTTATCAACTTGACAAACTCCCTAAAGGACACACGGCCCCATAGATACCTCTCAAACGCCTCTAGATCCAACATTCTTTTGGCAGCCATCAGAGGCATTCTACTAGAACGAGCAAATCCATATATTCCGACGTTCAAGACAAACATCAATCCTACCATTTTTCTCTTCTCATAACTCCATGTCCTGCAAACGTCAAAGACTTTAATCAACTGGTTCCAACAAGGTCCATCTCCAGGGTTGATCTTCAATTCTTTCCAAAAATCAGTGTGGTCAATATCCCATTCTTCTGTGGCATCGAATGGGTCAAACTTCAACTGAGTAATCTCGCTAAACTCATGAAGAGAAAACCTAACAGGACGACCACCAATCAAGCACCAAATCTCGTTAATCATGTCGGTCGACAATTCATTTGAAAGGAAATCCTTAATAATCTTCCCGGCCCATATCATGTTCCATGAAGCCAGCTTCAGAATTACTTCAATTCCATGGTTATTCATTATATTATTTTAAACCTCTTCCCCAACAGCTTCCATCATCCTCTCAAAGTCTCTCAACTTGCAATTATGATGCAAGCTTCTTTTGAACAATGGTGCTTTTCCAACCGGATACCTCCTACTCGGATAGTCAATTGGCAGAATAGAAGACGATGCCATTTATGTACAAATGAGATAACATAATTAAGGTCCAAATAATCTATCATCAAACAAAATAAATCTACCATCAAGCGAAATAAATCTACAATCAAGTCAAATAAATCTACTATCAAGTCAAATAAATCTTCCATCAAGCGAAATAAATCAACCATCAAGTAAAATAAATCTACCATCAAGTAAACTAAATCTACCATCGAAACAAAAAATAAATCTACCATACCATACCATATGACATTTCAATCAACAATCATCAATAACACAAATATGGACATTCATTTCAATTATACAATTAAATCTACCATCAAAACAAACAACGAAGATTCAGTTTAAAAACCGTTCTTAACTCATCAATTCTGTCATTATACTCTTTAACAAATCTACCACTAATTTCAATCTGCAAACATACTATCAAAAAACAATGAAACTTCAGTTTAAAAACCTTTCTTACATAATCAAATCTGTCATTATATTTTAACAAATCTACCATCAAAATCCATAACAAATCTACCACCAATTTGAATCTCCAAACATACTATCAACTTCTCTCACCAGAATGGTCGATTTCGTTGTCCGAATCTGAAGGAATATATTGAAGATTAGGGTTTCGAGATTTTTAGAACACTACAATAACCCAAATGAAAACCAAAATCCATATACCTGTTGTCCGAAGCAACAACACGAAACCCTAAACTCGCCAGAACTTTCAGTCGCCCAGAACCCAAAACCTGTCGAAGCAACTGAACCATTCAGTTTCGTTATCTCCCCAAATCGGCAAAACTAACAACAACGGAGAAGATGGACTCTTACCCGTTCACCGCTGTCGGGTTTGTCGTCGAAATCGCCTTTGTCTCGCGAAGGAGCAAAGGGGAGAAGACGAGGTTTGTAAAAACCAAACCGCGACTCTTCCTTTTTGTTGTTTTTTAAGGTTTCAAATGGCAATTTCGTAAATAAAATAGTTTACTTAGGTTTATTTATCTTTCATACCTTGTGTTGAGTTTCAACCTTGAATAAAAGTTGTTCTAGTAAATAACATACTTTCTAAAATTGTTTTAGTAATTATCTCCTAAATTAACCTCCGATTTCCTTTTGTACACACATTTCGATATTATAATATATTTATGTATATGTTTGAGGTTGTTTTAAAAAATCTTTATATTATT